GGGACCGGTGGTGAGTTCAGGGACACAGACAGACCGATAACAAGAGAACAGCTGATCGATAATTACTCCTCAGACTGAAGTTTAAACTTTATTAAACTGTATTTAGAGACAAAAACACAACAACAACGTTAATAAACAAATTTGACCTGTAAAATATAAATAATGTCTGGTGTTTATGTAAATAAAACCTTTAGTTTATGTTGTGATTCAATTATCAGTTAAAATAATAAAGGTAAAATAATATTTATTTATATTTATTTATTCTATATTTAGTATATATTTATATTTATTTATATATTTATAACCTAGCACCGCTGAGCTAACATCAGCTAGCAGCCATGAAGTCTGTTGACAGCTTCTTGTTTCCTGTTTTCAGGAGGAAGGAAACAGCAGAAGGATTGTGTGTCCTCTTGACCCCAAACAGTGAGTCATCAATAATCAATGACGGTATTGATCAGAAGCAGTCAGAATGTTGATTGATTGATTGATTGATTGTTTCAGCACCGTGAGTAAAGACAAACTGGAGAAACACCTGAAGAAGTGTAACTCCAGAGAGAAACCCAAACCTGTGAGATCATCCTCTTTATTGATCCATTACACTTTATTGATATGTTTGCTGACAGAAACGGGATGTGGTGGAGTAGAAAGTGGTTCATTGATTTCTGATTGATTGTCTGCAGGTTTATTATGTGGAGAATATAAACTCTGGATCAGCTGATGCAGACGAGACGCTGCAACAGGTAATAATAACAACAACAACAATAATATAGTAATAATAACAACAACAATAATGATAATATAATAATAGTGCTGTTTGTTGTCAGGTGAGTCTGTCTGAACGCAGTCGGACACAGTTGGAGTCTCTGCTGGACAAACTGAAAACTGCAGTCAGAGGTGAGGAATGTCCTGTGAGTCATAAACTGTAGTTGTTGATGTTGTTGATGATGTTGTTGATGTTGTTGTTGTTGTTGTTGTTGTTCTGGTTGTTTGTCAGTTAAAAGACTCACGTGTCCCCGTTGCCGTCCTGGACGCCACAGAGGTGTCTCTGGATTGCCAGAAGGACCCGTGCGTCCCCGGTGCTGCAGTACTGCAGCAGGGCGGCGGCGGTCTGTCTGGCGCTCTGAGAGGCTCGGCTGTGGAGGGCGGTAGCTGAAACACGATGCAGAGATCACATGTTACTGTCACCTCATACACAAACACGGTGACATCATCAGCAAACAAACAAACAACAAAATATCTCACCGATCTGAAACAGCTGCTGTTGTAGTGGCGAGCCTGTCTGTCCTCCCGTCTGTGTGTCTGTCTGTTGCTGGGTAACCCCCGTCTGAGGGGTGGAGCCGGACATCTGAGCCCCGCCTCCTGTGCCGAAGCCTGTGAATCCGGATGAGAAGAAGACTCCTCCTGTTCCTCCTCCTCCTCCATTCATCTGCTGGTTGAACTGGAATCCTGCAGATATTATTAATATTATTAATACATTTTTATTTTTATTAACATTATTATTTTTAACATAATAATAATGATAATAAAAAGTGAGTGTCCATTACAGTCTTTATTTTATGCTCAGTACAAAACATTTGATCATATTTAAGATGTTTTTACAGTGTGAACGCCTCACTTTGTTATAAAAACAGAAAGTTGACTCCCTACCTCCTCCACCTCCTCCTCCTCCTCCGAATCCCCCGGCTCCTCCTCCTCTTCCTCCTCCTCCTCCTCCTCTCCAGGGTTCGTAGTGAGGCAGCGGCTTCTGCTTCTTCCTCAGCACCTCCTCTTTGTCTGAAACAGAGCAGGCGACGAGACGGTGAGAGGAAGCCAACAGCGTCAGTGGGAGGTCAGAAACTGTTCCCACGGAGGGAAACCCCACAACTGTGACCTTAAACCCCAAAAACAAACACCTTCCCGGGGATTTACGGGCGCCGTTTGTACGGGCGCCGTTTGTATGTGTGCTGACGTTTCCCAGCTGACCTTGAACGTGCGGGATGTAGGTGAACTGTTTGGGGTCGCTGCTGTCGCCGGCCTTTTTCCTCTTCAGCTGCAGGAAGACGGTGACGGGACGCTCGATCTCGGCGCTGTGATAGGGCGGCGTCTTGAACACAATGGCGTACTGAGGAGAGAGAGACAGACACAGACAGACAGACAGACAGACAGAAACATTATATTAATATTCTCATGCTCTGAGAAGAGATGATTAAAACCTGGATTCAACCTCAGTTTCTAAAAAGGTTAGCTTTCAACTCTCAGAGCTTTTATTCTGTTTCAAGTTGTTTCTATTTGTTTCTTCGTAACTTTGTTTTGCTGTTTAAATACATATTGTTAATATTAACACTATTGAAATATGCAAGGAATTATTCTTCTGCCAAAAGGATCTCATTGAACACGGAAAAGTCCCAGTTTGGAGGGTCGATGTGAGATGTTCTACGAAACTACGATTCGTCAAACTCTGCTCAGAACTCGCTTTGGCGGGCCTCTAATGGAGACACCGGGCTAGTAAAGGAGACCTGCTTCTATTAGTTTTACAGTAAATAATGTTTTTATTACTAATGTGAGCCGGTATAATGTTCCATCGGGCTTTACATTATTCTGTAATCAGTTGTTAGACACTGTGTCTGACGTTGTCGGGGACAACAGCAGTGAGGATGTTTGGGTTCAGGGATTTCCCGCCGAGTTCAGATCAAAGCGGACTGCGTCTGTCGGTTTGTTGTGGTCTGAGAGCGTTTCTGCCAGTGACTCATCCACACACCGGCTCCATGTCGGGGTTTTTATTCAGGAGAGAAAAAGCACCGCCGCCGCTCATTTTACAGTCGACCAATCGCATGTTAGGATGGTGCGGGACTCGTCACCGTGGTAACCGAGAAAATGGAGGAGAAACTTGTTCCGATGGCGTCGGTCTGGAGTTTTCTATACATCCACACAGATTATTATTAAAGCTGCAGTTTGTTTTGGTTTCAGGTCGGAACAAATGAGACACTTTAAATCTCAAACGAGCAACTGTGAGACGGATTCTGGTGAAACTGGATCAGGGTTTTCCCTCTGATGTCCTCCGGCTGCTCGGCTTCAACTCTCTGTGAAGTAGCTAACCGCTAATTAACGGCTGCTGACTGTATCTGCTGTTAGCCAGGTACCAAGGTAACGAGCTAGCTCATCTACATCAATCATTAGTAAACTAGTTACATCTGAAAGCTAATGTGAGCTAATGTTAGCTGTTTGTAATTTAAAGGAATCGTCACCTGTTACAGTCAATGGAAGTGTTACATAATGTTGTTTTAAATTCAAAAGAGGTCATACAAATGATCAATAATGATCAATAACTTAACTAATCAATAACACACACACACACACACCTGTTTGTGAACATCGGTGGGTGAGAAGTCCCCGAACGCCTCCCAGCCTCCATCCTCGTCTTCCTCATAAAAACGGATCTCGATGTCATCTGTAACGAGCAGCACAGAGGCATGATGGGATATTTCTCCAGTATCAATAAGTGTATTGATACGAGCCGATCAGGTGTTTTCTCACCTTTCTGCACTTTGTCGCACAGCAGGAAGATCTCGTCTCCTCCGAGCACCGAGCCGCACGTCTTATCCATCCGAGAGATCTTCAGGTTGGAGGCGTTCGGAGACTCTGAGCACAGACGGGATCCGTTTATTTCACTTTTACTGGTTTTATTATCTCATATTTAGAAACATCCCATAGTTTCCGTCTATCATCTCATTCACTGTTGGAAACATTGAAATGCTTTAAAAAGGATCTGAGGACTGCGTGGACTCACTGCTGTCGTAGATGGGGTTGGAGACGACAGGTTTCAGCGCTCTGGTGAATCCTCCGTTGCTGTCCTGCAGGTAGGCGGTGAACTTTAACCGGACGATGTTCAGGTCCATCACCTTCCCCAGCTCCTTGGCCTCCTTCAGGATGGACGTCTCCTCCGAGTCTGCAGGAGGACGGACGGCAGAGCGTCAGAATTGAATTAAAATTAAAACTAATAAATTGTGATATGAAAGGTTTTTATTCAGTTCACTGCTGGTTTAGTAGCGCCCCTAGGGGTAGTTTGCAGTACTGCAGGGGGATGTGAGTAAGTGTGTGTGCGTAATAACTAAACTAATAACCGTAATAAGCTCAGTTCAGTTCAATAAAGAACGTTTTACATTCAGTGCAGTCGATGCTGCTGTAAACTGATCTCTGCAGAGCCTCATTAAACTGATCAAACAGACGCAGCCTCAGTGATTGAACTATAAACACAATAATGTGTACGGAGGTTTCTCTGAGGTCCGACAGGTGAGTTTACCTGTGAGGTGACAGTGAGCTCCTTTCTGTCTCTTCCTCTCTTCTCGCAGCCTCCGACTCAAAACCTCCACCACACCTTTCTTGGTCACATGGAGGATCCCCAGGTTACTGAAGCTGCAGGGAGTGACAACAACAACAATAAACAACAATAACAGAAACCAGGTTGTAAAATGTCTCAGTTTAAGTATTTATATTGTATAATATAATATAATATAAATGAGGGGTCCAAATAATTTGTATATTGTTTTTGTTGTGATTTGTTATTGTTTGTTTTATAAACAAAGTGCTGCGCTGTGATTGGATACTGACGAGGCGGTGAGGTCGTTGGGGCCGACGTCCAGCGTGCAGGTGCCGTTCTCAGTGCAGTGGCGTCCCACCAGACTGTGGGCGTGAACACGAGGGGGGTCGGAGTGCGTCACCAGCTGGACCTCCACCCGGGCGTGACCCACGTAGTTATTGATCTGAGTGGAGAGAAAACAACATCAGAAAAACTGCAAAATACAAACAGTCATTTTAATATTAAAGATAAAAGACTGAATATTTCCCATCAGGCTAAGTTATTGTAGAGTCGCCGCAAACTGAATCTGTTCAAACTGTTTAAATTCAGTTTGAACTCATCTGGGGGACAAACTGAATTTGAACGCTCACAAGTTGATAACAATAAATTAAATTTCAACCTGTGAAATATTATTATATTAATTAAAAACGTTTACGTTCAGATTCAGTTTGTGTTGGCGCTACGATACCTCCATAGAGGGCAACAAAGACTTACGATGGTTTAAACAACGTATTCAAATATATCAGAACTTCAAAGACAAACAAAGAGCAGGATGTGACCTGAATGCAGCTCAAACAGAACCGACTCACCTTCACTGTCGGGTAGGTTCTCCGGTTCTTCTCGCTGGAGGCCCCCGGGAGCCCGCCGTGGGACGGACCCTCGCACTCATAACGGAAACGGAAGCCCCTCTGAGGACACAAACACACACAGTCACCGACCTCGCTGAATATGTATCTGTTGTAGTTTGAACAGGTTCATATTTAAAGACGTTTGTAATCCAGAACGGCCTCATATTGAGCAGCTGCTCAATTTGATTATAATTTAATAATAATTTAATAATAATTTGCATATTTTCTTACTTTCAGTCTCTTCCTCACAGCTGTAAACTCTTCCATATACAGACACTGTATATTGTATTTTATCCTGAAGTCATATTTCATATTTCTGTTTTATTAGATTTTATTTTTCTATTTCTGCATATTGTGTATTCTATAAGTATTTGTCTGTCTGTCTGTCTGTCTGTTTCCTTACAGTAACAAAGAATAAACGCCTACATTTCTTTCTGTTATTGTTCGTCTATTCTATTTTATTTTGAATTGACTGGTTTATAATCCTGGTTCAACCATTTAAAGCACTTTGTAACTTTATTTTGAAAAGCGCTGTATAAATAAAGTAATGTTTCTAATTTTAAGATTTAAGATTTAAAAACTGGAACTGAAAATAAAATAATACTTTGCTCTTTTATTTTTAAACCTTTCTATATGACTGTTCTCGTCTGTGGATGGAAAATAACAGCTGCTATTTCCTTCGTTAGCTTATGTTAGCCTTTTATGTATAAGGATCATTTTTCATTTACCTGATTAAATAAAGGTTAAGTAAATGTCATGTAGAATTATTGAATACCAAAGAGTTTGATTTAATCTCTGAGCCTGGCATTACGCTGTGAATGAACATCCTCTGAAGCTGCGGCACATTTCAGTTATAATGTCCAATGGTTCATTTATAATAACTAATAATAATAATGTGTTCTATAGCACTAGAACAATTCTCATGTTCATATTAAGGTGGAATTATTAACTTTAGGCAGCTGAATTTGATCATTAACTGATAAAATGTTGTTTCTGCTCTCACATTTAATATTTGATCTTATTCCTGCACAATAAATCTACATTTTGGCCTCAGATTACGATTTTAAAGCTTTTTAAAGGATGTTCGTTCAAGATTCAAGATGTCCCACATTCTAAATTCCATTGAAAAAAACAAATGTTTTAAAGAATGTTTTATTAAAAATAATAATTAGTTTCATAAAATAGGGCCCTAAACAGCATTTTGCATAAAGCCTCCAAAAAGCTACAGACAGCCCTGAATATACACATCTCTTTCACAACTTTGTAACTTTATTTTGAAAAGCGCTGTATAAATAAAGTTATGTTTCTAATTTTAAGAATCAGCTTTGTTGAATTCTTATTTTAGAAGTGATGGTTTTGTGAACTGGTTCATGTCTCTGGTTCAGTGTGTTCACACCTCAGAGCAGAACTATGAACACTTTGTGTTTGTACATCCACTGATTGCGTAAACCTGGTTCTTCTTTTCTCTTCATACCAGAAGTGATTTGCATATTGACAGTCAGAGGACTCTCTGTAGTCACATGACCTTTAGCTGCAGAAACTCCCTGTTTGTGCTCATCTGCTCAGTCCCATGTTGTTTTATGACTGTTGGGAAAACCCTGGATTAAAGGAAGTGGCTGTTACAGTAACGAGGATCAACCTGACGATGGAAAACACCAACAACAGTGTGCGTGTGAAGGTTGCTGTGTGTTTAGGTAAACAAGCCTTTTGTTCTTATATTGGTTCTTTATTCTGAGGAAGATAAAGGACGTCTACATAATGCAGAGCAGTTAGTTCTTTTTAATACTCCTGTAGACACCTGTATACCTGCCTCAACCAAAAATCAACTGACTGCCGCCCACACTGTACAGCTGCCAAGATTTTAACCAGAAACAGGATCACATCGCTCCTGTTTCAGCCTCTTCATGCTGGCTCCCAGTTGACTGACAACTGATTTTACTTGTTTACTACTCTGACCTTCAAGTACTGTACATGCTCGCGTTTGTACTTTGAGATCCTCGGGGCAGAGGTCTATTGTCTGCTCCAGAGGCCCAGTTGAGGGTTTGCAGTCGGGCACCCGAGGCTCTGGAGCAATCCTCCTTTCTTGATTTAACTTGAATTTTTAAATTTTCCTTTCCCATTTTAAACGTGTTTCCAGAGATGAGGACTTTTCCAGTAGCAGTGATAAGATAGATAGAAATAGATAGAAATAAAGCTGCTAAGAGAGTCTGAAAAGTCACCAAGTCGGCGACACTGAACGACGGTACTCGGTGCAACCAAGTCGGGGGAGTCACACACTCTTTAATAAACCGAAATACTTTGAAAATAATAAGGAAATAACAAGAGATAGTGCTCAAATAAGGACATATTTCACATTTCTTCAATAAGAATGCACGGTAACGCCCTTGGCCTAATATAGATCCATATGGGAAGTTCCGGTACTTTCACCTCTAACAACACAAACAAACTCGTTTGGTTTGGTTTGTTTAAACTGGTGTTAAAGCTGTGAATCAAACTCCAAACAACCAGATGGGCCTAATATTGATCCTTGTGGTACGTCTTTATGAATGAACTCCCTTAATGAAGCTGGTCCATAAACTCAGAGCACTGTTAAAAGTCACTTTGTAGAGTAGAAACAATGTAAAGTTGTAAGTTTGTATTTGAGTTATTTCTCACCTGTTTGGGCTCCTCGATGATCTGAATGTAGGGACCATGAGCTGCAACATAAACAACAGTCTAGTTAATGACACACACAGAAACTCTGACTGTATATCTGAAATTCACTGGTCACAATGACATTTTTTGAGATTTTACCATCAACTTTCACTATTTCACCAGCACTTTTTACACCTCGTAAAACCTTGTGTTTTCCCCTTTAGTAAGATCTAGACAGTGCAGCTTCCCAGCTACAGTTGAGTTGGTGGATAAACGTCGTCTCGGTTTCATATAACAGGGAATAGTTCAGGTCGGGGGACTGAGGGGGACTGCTGTGTTTGAGACAATTCAAGAAAGTATTTCTTTGATTCTGGTCCTAAAAGACCTCAATTCCAGGTATGAATGAGACATTACACCACAAATGATACGAGGGCTCCAGGTATGGGGGCGCCCCCGGAGGCTGACACACTGATTATGACCAACTGTAATAGGGTGACAGTTCAATTACTGTGTTTAATAATACATGCAGATCGTCTGCGTACCTGTCTCAGGTATGTAGGGTTCAGTCTTTATGTCCACTGGAGGAATGTAGTCGTACTGCATCAAATTCATATGTAGCTGAAGAAGAAAAAGAAATATTTTTTAACATCTAAAAACAGTTGGTAAATTCACTTTACAATCAATCTCTATCTACAGTAGCTGTCCTTATGGTTTCTGATCATCATTCAAGACTTCATCACTAGAAAATGACACATCTCTGGTATCATGAAACAATCAGCCGATTGAAAAACCCCCCAAACTGGATTCTGGATCCAGAACCTCTGTTGGTCCAATTTAACAAACTTCAACAGTAAACTTTTATCAGTATTTTTAACATTTCATTGAATCGAAGAATCAAAACTGGAACAGAAAATGAAATAAGTGAGTCATATTCACAATATTAGTCACATATTAACTTTGCTCTTTAATTAGTATTTTATTTTTAAACCTTTCTATATGACTGTTCTCGTCTGTGGATGGAAAATAACAGCTGCTATTTCCTTTCCTTATGTTAGTCTTTTATGTATAAGGATCATTTTTCATTTACCTGATTAAATAAAGGTTAAGTAAATGTCATGTAGATTTATTAAATTACTAAGGATTTGATTGAATCTTTTTACCTTTATTTAAATTAGATATGTCCCACTAGGTTCGGAAACCTGGCTGAGATAGCAGCTTAAAACAATGCAAACAAACACAGAAAACGTCTAATGTGGAAATCTTTAAAATCCCGACAGCGCTGCGTATTTAATTAAAGATTAGAAACTCGGAATTTGTACAATTTAATTTGTTCTTCCTTCAGTTGGTAATTCTTACAGCTGCGTCTGACAACATTAAATTACAAGAATTATGAATGGAGTCTGGCATTACGCTGTGAATGAACATCCTCTGAAGCTGTGAGATAGTGGCCAATGGTTCATTTATCTCATTGGAATTATTAAGGTGGAATTAGTAACTTTAGGCATTAACTGATAAAATGTTGCTTCTGCTCTCACATTTAATATTTGATCTTATTCCTGCACAATAAATCTACATTTTGGCCTTTAAAGCTTTTAAAAAGAAGTTTGTTTATTCAAGATGTCCCACATTCCAAACTCCATTGAAAAAACAAATGTTTTAAAGATTGTTTCATTAAAAATAATTAGTTTCATAAAATAGGGCTCTCTAACAGGGGCATTTTGACATAAAGCCCCCCAAAAAGCTACAGACAGCCCTGAATATACACATCTCTTTCACAACCACAGACGTTACGTCTCTCAGCAGCTCCCTGAATGAAGCATCAGTCAGTTTGACCCTCACTGGAACTCGTACAGCAAACACTCGTTAAACTAATCAATGAGCTGAAAACGTCGTAAATCATCAACTGGAAGAGAAAAGAACTCACATCGTTGTCGTAGGAGTTGATGAACTGAGGTTCAGTCATCCTGCAGCACAAACAAACAAACAAACGTTAGAGGCTGGTTTAAAGACGCGCACACACACACACACACACACACACACACACACACACACACACTCACTTTAAATCCTAGAATAAAGACAGGGAGACAGAGGAAGAGCTTATGGCAATCAGGACTGTACACAACCTACACAAACACATCAAATTTCCTTCATCCCATCCCTATTGTCACTTAACTATTTCTATTTAACATGCATGAAATGCTTTCCTGGATATCGAGCGCACCTGTGCAATGTTAACAACGGCCTTAATTAAATTTTGGGCCACCTGCTGGTACAAAACAAAGATGAACAGTCACAACATCCTTCGACCTATTATCAGTTTATAAAGTTGTATGGTTAACATTTAGGGGGGTGGGGGGAGGGGGGGGTGGGGGGGGGGGGGGGGGGGGGGGGGGCAAAAAAAATGCCTTAACTTTGGTGTGTTCAGCCAAATGAAGTTGAAAGAAAAAATAAAAAAAAAAAAAAAAAAAAACAAAAAAAAAATAAAAAAAAAAAAAATACAAAAAAAAAAAAAAAAAAAAAAATGATTTGATTCCTGTTTTTGGTTAAACTAAAGGTCTATCCCTCTGTAGGGGGGATCCCTTTCCCCATAAGGATGCCTGTCAGACACCCTGACAATAACAACCCTGAGTCTGTTAGTGGAACAAAACAACTACTACTGTTAGTGGCTAGTAGTAATCCAGATTTGGGGATTGTTGGAGAGACTAAACAGCAGCTTCCTTTTTCCTCCAGAAACTACAACCAACAACAACAACAGCAGTGATGTCCACAGTGTCCTGGAGTACACCCTGTACATCACTGGCAGAGACACCAGCAGTTAAACCTGGAGGTCTGATCTCTCACACCAGAACAACAGCACACGTTTCTGTTCGTTTTCAACCACAAATAAAACACACCTGAGAGCTCCGGCAATGATGAAGAAGATGAAGAAGATGAGAAGATGAAGATGAAGATGAAGATGAAGAAGGCCAGCTCCCTGCAGGATGAGGTTGTTCTGTTCTTTTTCCTGCAGACGCCAAAATCAGGAGTTAATACCACTGAGAGTCTGCGTGTGTCTGAATGGAGGTCATATCTAAATACAAGTGAGAAGTGGAATTTCCAATCCCTGCTCTTCCCTCCCTCCTCCTCCTCCTCCTCCTCCTCAGTGTTTGGGGACAATCCTCAACCAGACTGAAAAACAACAAACTGGCCGCCTCTGACTAAAGGAACAGTTCAATATGTTTCCTCTTTGTTCTCTGTCCTAGCCCTAGCTTAGCACAAAGACTGGAAGCAGGTGGAAACTGTTATAGCCTAGCTTCAGCCACAAAGACTGGAAGCAGGTGGAAACTGTTAGCTCTAGCTTAAGCACAAAGACTGGAAGCAG